GCGACCCAATGAATGAGGCTAATTATATACCCCACGGGAGAATACTATCGGCGTAGACTGGAATAACCAGACGCCAAAGACTGCCATTCAATTTGGATTCATCAGGTATCTCGCCGAACATAACTGATTAGAAATTACAACAAAAACAGAATCGATTGAATGTAAATCAGTTTATATATACATTCATATTAGATTATTATATGCGTTGCGACCCCTTTCTGTCCATTTCTAGATGCCAAAGAATCGCGATTTAGCTCCTTAATATCTCAACAACAAAAAATAAATAATTGGGCACATAATATACTGGATTGGCACTCGTTTCCATGTTAAAATAGTTCTATGTAATTAATCACCATTGCCCTCCCACAGCTATCACTTGTTGATAAAAGGGTGATTCTAATGAAATTAAAGTGATATATTACAGTAAGAGTTCTGGTCATTATCAGATGGGAGTATTAATTTATTCTACCAATTATCATACATCACGTGACCTCTCTATTCACCCATACAAGCAGATTTATAGCTACATGTAATTTATTTGAAACGGTAAAGCTGGATTTCTTGAACGATTAGGCCTCAGTTTTTTTCACCCCACAGCCTTAGGGTAGGCCTGCGTTTTGATCACAGTGGTTTTAACCTAACGTTAACATTCAGAATGGGTGCTAACGTTGTGGGGGCGCCACGGTGGCTCAGTGAGAGAGATGTTGTCTCGCTAACCTGGGGGTCTCGTGTTCGATCCCTATGTTGGCCGAGAAAGTTCATCGGCGTGTTTCCCCTTTGTCAGTGATGACGGATGGAGGAAATGGCAAGGGACAACGTATAGTCGTTCGGATGGTACGAAAAGCCGAGGTCCCGTGTACACATTTACGTGCACGTAAAAGACCCGTTGACAGTTGTAATTCTATTAAGAGTAGGACATACCGCTACTGCCCGGGCAAAATTTCCCTCATAGCACACTGTATGGCGGATGCATGCCCGTCTTTATTAGCCCAGTAGGAGCAGAACAGTAGGACATTAAACCCCATTCCATTTCCTTACAAGTTGTTGATCATCGTTTGAGGTTATTTTTAATACCTTGCGAACTACAATATTGTGAAAGTTGAATCTCTAAAAGACTAATCTGTCCAGAAATGATTCTATTTCATTCAGTATTTACACAGATATGATGAATTTCACAGCATTCGGTATTCACCGCATTAGGTCACCACCTTCCACAGCGCCGTTGAGTCTTATTACAGAGAATAAGAATACCAAGGCATGTTTCCTAGAAAGATCTGATTCCAGTCAACCGGTGAAACAGAAACACAGAGCTGTACATAGTATTTTTCTGGTAAGAGTGGATGGAATATTAATCTGCTTTCTCCGCCTTCGTTAGCCCAGTCCGTACAGAAAAGTAAGATATTATCCCGCCACCCCCTTCATTTCACCCACCATTTCTAAATAGTTTTCCCAAACATACACACTGTAGTTGTATTAAAGAAGATTTTAAAAACAGGTATGTTAGTTCTGCGATTTGTGGGAATAGGACGTCTATCGACGTAAAGATACGAACAGGGGCCTGTTTCACGAAATTTTTAACCAAGATAAAATCCAATTTTAGTAATTTGATTGGATAATATTAGATTGATTTTAGTGCTTAGCCAATCATAACTGAAGTATCTACTAAAATTTGAATTTTATCTTTAGTTAAGATTTTGAGAAACAGGGGCCAGATCCGGAATTAGCCAGAGCTTTTGGGTCTTTAGGGCTTTAGGACTTTAGTTTCGAATAAAGGATTGGTTCGGTCGGTCGTTAAGATTGCTTTTAGGGGTTTTCGTTTCGAGTAAAGAGATGTTTGACTACGTTTAGATTGAGAGATGCTGAACTACGTTTAGATTGATTTTAAGGGTTTCGTTTCTAGTAAAAGAGATATTTGACTACGTTTAGATTGGTTTTAGGGGTTTTCGTTTCGAGTAAAGTGATGTTTAACTACGTTTAGATTGATATTAGGGGTTTTAGTCTCCAGTAAGAAGATGTTGGACTACGTTTAGAATCATTTAGGGCTTTAGTTTCGAATAAAGGAATTGTTCGGTTCGTCGTTTAGATTGATTTTATGCGGTTTTGTTTCAAGAAAGTGATGTTTGACTACGTTTAGATTGGTTTTAGGGCTTCCAGTTTCCAGTAAGATTTTTAGAAGATGTTTGACTACGTTTAGAATCATTTTACGGCTATAGTTTCGGATAAAGAGATGTTTCAACACGGTTTGACTGGTTTTGAAGTTAGGACAATCTGACTTGTCGGGTTGTACTTGTTAACTGTTAGTGACAAGGCTAGATGATAAGATTGACATGTAGGTATGTTATATCAGTAAATATTTCTGATATATCTCTATATTTATCATCGTATTTTATACCAATAGATATAGCAGTATATAGACCAGTAACAGTTGTTACAAACATTTGATAAAAATGATACAAACATATTCCTCTCTCTCTCTCTTCAAACATTTATCATTGCATCTTACAGTTTCACTCATAGATTTATATGGCGCCGAACAAGATGACTTTCTAATATTCTGAGCTATTCGGTACTTTTTTCATGTATATTATATATGATTAATGATGTTTTAGGGGAAAAATACAAAAGTGTTTGTTTATAGCTTCTCTTAGGGAATGAAAAAAATAGCACACAAAATATATTATATAACAATTCATGATGATTTTTTATCCCATGGTCGGTTTTTATTTATTTATTTTGTTGGGGTTTTTTTTGGGGGGGGGGGGGGGATTTCTTTTTTTTTTGGGGGGGGGGGGGTATGGGAGCTCAGGGGGTATGGGGCTATTTCACTATATAGTATTTATTTTGTTGGGTTTTTTTTGGGAGGGGGGGATTTTTTTTTTTTTGGGGGGGGGGGGGGGTATGGGAGCTCAGGGGGTATATGGGGCTATTTCACTATATAGTAGGTTCCATGTTCGATCCCGTTGTTGGTCGTAAATTTCCATTGTATTTTCCAGTCTGATTGTCTCTCGTCGGTGATACAGGATAAAGAACCTGGCAAGGAAAATCGCCTAGTCTTTTGGATGGGGCAATAAACCCATTACCCGTGTTTAACGATCTCCTGGTAGTTGTAAATCGAAATAAGAGCAGGGAACATTTTCCTGATAGCATATTGCATGACATTTGTCTGTCTTTATTGGCCTGATATGTGTAAGACGTTAAATTCAATTTCATTGGGGTGGGATGGGGCTGGTTTAACGCGTTCGCTTTAGATCATAAGGGCTGTCATTGAGTCAAGTGGTGTAGTTTCGATTCTCCGCATATATACATAACAATTGAGTGGGGTCGCATTTCCAGTCTCGTGGGTTTTCTTGGGACCACCCACTGCTATAAAGACCCCTACGCACAATATGTTAGTCACGAAATGACCTAGTTTGTGTCGAGTGGACAAGTAGTGTGGTTTCGATTCCCCGCGTATACGTGACATGTTTTCTCCAGTTCCATCCACTGCTAATATGTAAATCCCGAAATGACCTAGTTTGTGCCGAGTGGACGTTCAACCCCAGTCTCCCTCGCTCCCATTGTATTTCATTTTAATAGAACTACTTTTTCTTGTGTATTTGCCTTTTAAAGCCATCAACTGTCTAAATACATATGTTAGTGTTTTCTGTCGTATAATTTATCAACATTTGCCGTCATGTATTGTCTATTTCTCGTATCCCTAGCAACAACAAGTTGAAATATATATGATAAATTATACACACAGAGTGTCAATATATTAACACGGCTTATCACAGTGTATGATATATATAGCAGAAAGGGAGATAACTCAAGCGTACTATATCCCCTTAATGACCCCTGACATACTGACCATTAATAGTTATTATAAGATAATTAACATGCAGTGGAAACTCATCAGAAACAAATAAAATGGTATTTTCGGGCTTTTATTTGCAGAGAAGTACATTTGATATCTTTCATTTTGTCTTTGATGAGAAAGATAGGTTCCATTTTAGCAGATCTCCAGCCATTCAAGTTGTTTAAATGGACTAAACCTAGTAGCGGGAATGGTGTCGTTCACCGCTGGCACTACTTTATTTATTTATTTATTTGTTGTTTTTGGGTTGGTTTTTTTTTTTTTTTTTCGGGCTTTGTTTTTTTTTTGTTTTGTTTTTTGTTGGGTTTTTTTTGGGGTTTTTTGTTGGGGTTTTTTTTTTGGGGGGGGGGGAGCACTTTTGGTCTACTGCATTCAAAGAAAAAAAAATAGTGGTGGATGGGGACTTAAGGATCGCTTTATCTGACGCCAAATTTTGAGCGAAGACAGATTGGTATCCAGCAAAGCTAATCAACACATAAAATCCAACGAACTGGACAGATCAAAGTGGTCAAGCCAGACAACATCAGATGTAATCTACGTCAGAAACTCAATCAATAGAAATAACATAGAAGATTAATTTAGTTTTTCTCTTCCTAAAGCGGACCTTTGACCCAAACGAGTCTATGTTCGGAGCATTTTGAAAATGTACCATTATATAGATGGAAGAGAGAGAGAGAGAGAGAAATGGGGTTTAACGTCCACTCGACACAAGCTAGGTCATTTAGGGACTAACGTATGGTTTAATTTTATTTCAATAATACGCTTGCGCGTAGGGATCTTTAGCAGTGGGTGGAAACCGGAGGACCCGGAGAAAACCCACGAAGTTGGAACAGATGAAAGAAGAACATAATAACAGGTGTAAATTTTTTGAAATTGCTCCTTCAAATATCAAATATTGATAGGGGGTGAAAAAACATAAAACACATTATAAGGACTTGGGCATGTAAGAGGCTGATATCTTTAAGCCTATAACAAAGTTATTAACTGGCTTCAGTCTTACTGATATCTAATAATTTCTCTCTCCCCAGTAGAAACCTGTGATAAGTGGTATATACCACCATATCTACATCTACTTCCAAACTTCACTCAAAAACATGTTTCAAGTACCACATCGATGTTCTACAGGTTTCCATTCTGCACGCGCTACTCATAGCAGACGACCGTATCGCAAGTTTTGCCGCCAATATCTGACACGAGATAAAAGTTCTTTAATTCATGAACGGCTACAGTACGGTGTTTATTTACCCGAGAACTATTTCACTTTAAATGTTGCCATCAGATAGGGCAGCCAGTTAATAGTCGAAGAAATCAGGAAATACATCGCAGTTTTCCGTGAGTATTGGTGTTTTTATTTGAATTAATTCATATATAATTTTGTGAATTTAAATGGCATCTTTTTCTTTATGAATTAATAGCACGAATATGTAAAGAAAAGTTCATTGTTATTTTGTGAATTTTAGAGATAAATTCTATAATCATCGAGGGCCTTATCCATGAAAACTTAAACTCGCATATTTTAAGAATGCATCCGTTTCATTGGCCAAAACATAAAATCTGTAGGCTACTTTTATTTTCGCGCTCAGCCAATGAATACTCAGTTTTCTCTAAATATTGTAATTTTAGTTTTCATGAATAAATATTTATGTGAAGATTTTAATTATTCCAAGTGTTGACACTTGGGCGCTGTTGGTTGATCTGACTACTTTTTTCATTCATCTTTTCATTTCTCTTTTTCTTCTCTTTTATCCTAGTTAGGGATATGGTTAGCCTAGCTTGAGCGGGAGGGGGCCGCAGGGTTAGGGTTAGTATTAGGGTAAGGGCCGCCTAAAAAAAAGGAGTCAGATCAGCCAACAATGCCGACACATATTCTGTAACTGTGTCATGTGTAATATCTGCAGAACAGAAAACAGCAAATCTTATTTTTAAATGATCACGTGTGCAAAGAGGGGATTAAACTGCCAATGATTGTTTAACGTACACGTGTGTACCCGGGTGCGCATTGGTTTTTCGTCCCATCCAAACAACTAAACATATTTCCTTGTCAGCGGCGCAAGCGCTAACCCTGACTGGAAAACACTCGAGGTTCTCGACCCTACGCCGAAGTTCTAACCCGGGAAATTCTAGTCGGCCCGTGTCCACAGCCTTTGGCTTGTGTTCGACTGAGGAGAAACAATCTATCACAATACTCCCACAGTCTTGGCAAAATGGTTTACACATTAATTACCAACCTTGGAACTTTCCCCAACCATACGTGTTTATTTCAGCAAATCGAAGGATTGTCAATAACACCTTATACCACTTCTCGTTTTGGGAGTTCACATAGCTAGCATCACATATCTAGCATCTCATAACTAGCATCACATAGCTAGCATTAATACTTTTATATCGACTGCGGTGAATACCGAATGCTGTGAAATTCACCATACCTTTGTAAATACTGAATGAAATTGAATCTTTTCTGGACAGATAATTATTTTAGTGATTCAACTTTCACAATATTGTAGTTCGCAAGGTATTAAAAATACCTCAAACGATGATCAACAGCTTGTAAGGAAATGAAAATGAAATGGGGTTTAACGTCCTACTGGAACTGGGCTAATGAAGACGGGTATACGTCACGGCCTACTCTTGTATCGAATTCCAGCTGTCAAAAGATCTTTTACCAACACGCCAATTTGCACCACCGACAAGGGAGAGTCACGCCGGACAATCCCAGTGAACTTTCTCGGCCAACGCAGGGATCGAACACGGAATCTCCAGGTTAGCGAGTCAACGTCTTACACTGGGCCACCGTGGCTCCCTGGACGGCTTGTGAATACCAGGATAAATTTGAAACTAACATAATTATAATGGTTGGTTACCTAAACATTATCATATTCTGATACATGTGAAATATTATATTGAACACTTTTATCAGGGCGTCAGTTCTGAGTTGAGACGAGTGCTTCATTGTGTGACATACCTTTTTTCTTTACGTCCGCTTCCACGGAAGGGATATCGCAGAAAAGGGTGTTCCATTAAAATACGTAACTGACTTGGCTTTATAGGATTAGAGAAATAGGAATTCAGACCTCTTAATAAAGAACTGGAATGTAGGGGATTTTTTTTTGTCCATGGCTAAGATAACCGACCTATATGTATATGAAGATAAGAAGACGATTTTTTGCCGAACAAATATTTTGCATATTTTAAGAAGTAGTGAGAATTCCTATTCGAGAATTATAGCTACACAGATTAATATCAGCCCTTATCTACTCGGTGGCATTAGACCATGGAGCATATATTTAATGTAATAGATATACAGAATGTACGGGTCTGTTGATAAAATACAGACACCCAGACTTGATATAAATTATACTTGATCATTATCTCTTCATTTACTGACTAAATTAATTAAAGATGATAAACTAATCAGCTAATTAACACCCACTAAATATAGACGTAACAAGCATCCTTGTCAACGCAGTAATGTATATTAAAGGCGCGTTATGTAAGATTCAGATAACGGGAGAGAGAGAGAGAGAGAGAGAGAGAATATTGTATATTGAAGGTGCATTATGTAAGATTCAGATAACGAGCTGACCGTTCTTGCTATAATAGTTGAAAATTAGATAATAAAAAATAAATATATTTGGGGTGGCTTAAAGAAGGGAGTTAACAGTTTTAAAAACTAATTCTATAGGCAATATAAAATGTATTGAGTAAACTGCTGCCGAGCGGAGCAAGTAAACACATTTTATTGAGAAAAAGTATTTAGATTCAGACAACATCCCAATATCCCGATGAGTGACTATCCTAGAAGTGGTAGCGTATTATGAAATACTCACAGCGTCCAATAAGGCCTCCGACTAGTAATTTTCTCCACATTGACTTCAGGAGCCACGGTGGCTAAGCGAGTAAGACGCTGGGTCGCTAGCCTGGAGGTCGCGTGTTCGATACCGGTGTTGGCCGTGAACGTTCATCGGGATTTTCCGGTGCGTTTTCCCCTTGTCAGTGGTGCAGGATGGACGGCCTGACAAGAACAGTTGTCTGGTCGTTCGGATGAGACGAAAAACCGATATCCTGTGTACACATTGGTGTTCACGTAAATATCCCTTGGTAGTTGGAATTCGATATAAGGGTACACTGTAACAAAAATTTCCGTGAAAAAACGTAAAAAATTCCGGAAACAAAAATTACCAGGAAAATTTTATCCGTATTTGTTTTTCCTGTAATTTACAGAAATTCCTTCAATTAACATAAATTCCATTTTCAAATACAGAAAAAAAAAATCCTGGTAAATTTTGTTTCCTGACCATGAAGGTGATAAAAATTTCATTGAATTAACCATTGACTTTATACGCGTGCGTGAAATAGCTTTATTTAACGTCCGCTTCCACCGAAGTGATATCGCAAATAATTTTTAAACGTAACCTCTTTTCGATATTATAAGAATCGAGAGCAAGGTATCACAAACCGCTACCCGTCAGTGGTTGGAGGCTTTCAGATGTAAGTTTGCGGTATTATCAATTCGCAGGTATGCAGACTCTGCCATAGAGACCAACCGACGTACACTGGCCAACCGGTTGTACTATCCGGACTTTAGCGTGCTTGATTACCAGATATTACAACCTTAACACCCGCGGCATTAAAACATACTTTTACATATTTATGAAAATACTTACAATCTGATTACCGTATGATGAATAACAATACACTTTATAGATCTTATAAATAATGGAAATTAGATATACATGTCAATTAATATACCAAACGTTACAAAATATGATTCTTCATATTATGGTTAATAAATTGAAATGAATACTATAACATGATGATTATTAGGAATGATTATATATGTATACGATTACTTATCGTTGCACCGTTTATCCCGTAAAACAACAGAATTAAGTCCATTACAGAACGGAATAAAACATTTTATCCCTAAATTTCACGGAACTTCCTTGTCATTCCACCGTTTATTCCGTAAAATAACAGAATTAAGTCCGTTATAGAAGGGAATAAAACATTTTATCCCTAAATTTCACGGAAATTTCCTGTTTAATACTGAATATTCCACAGAAATACATAAAACACGTAATTTGAAGAAATAATTCAGACAATTAACACAATTTCTCCAAAAAATCCATCGATTAACAGAAAAAAGGTGTTAAATTACGGAATTCGGCCACATAAAAAATGGATATTTTTTACAGTGTAGGCCGTAGGGCAAAATGACTCTCATAGCGCACACTGTATGGCGTATGTCGGTCTTCATTAACCCAGTCGGAGCAGAACAGTAGGACGTTAAACCCCCATTTCATTTCAGTTTCTCTTATTCGATTCTAGATACACATTCTCGTGCAAAAGGGTGGGAAAAGGAAAAAAGAAAGAAGGTGAAGATATGCTTTATCGCCATCTGGTGACTCCGTCGGTTTAATAGTCTCACCAATCCGTTTTGTGTAATCATTAGAGGGATTTTATATCCTCCCCCGCAACGCCCCTTAACACCCTGTACACCCCTGTATACAGAGTTGAAAGAATATTACTTGACCCCGGGGTCATATAAACATATGAGGCGTCTTTAATATGAAATTAGAAGAGAAACATGGAGTTATATCACAAGGTGTTTATGATATATAAATTTACTAGATAAATATTCAATTATAACATAGTCAGTAGATTGATGTGATGTTCACACATCTTGGTGCAACTGTCAATAGACTAAAATAATAAATGTCGTATTCCGTATTTTGGAGAGAGTCGACTTCTTGCCCCACCTTCACACGGTTAGCCATCTTGGTGCAAATGTCAACCACTAATATATTAAATATTATGGAATAACGTTTTTTGAAGAATTGGCTGGGGGGGCGGGGTATCTTACAAACGGATAAACTATAATATAGCCCGTCTGTGTTTGTGTGTGTATGAGTGTCGTTCAGTCATCTCGGTGCAGCTGTCAACATGCTAAAATATTAAATATAGAATTAAGTTTTTAGAAGACAGCCGAAGTTTTGCTCTACGTCGTTTAGACATCTTGGTGCAAATGTCACCCACTAAAATATTGAATATAGTACTAAGTTTTTTGGCGAAGGCAGAAGTTTTGCTCTACCCCCACAAATATCTTTTTGGTACAACTGGATAAACTATAACATAGCCCGTTTGTGTGTTTGAGTGTCGTTCAGCCATCTTGAAGCAAATGTCAACACACTAAAATGCTAAATGTGTAATTAAGTGTTGTGGAGAAAGTCGACGTTTTGCTCCACCCCAAAACAAATTTTTGGTACAATTTGATAAACCAATGCTTACATTGAACACACAGCTAGGACGTACCGGGTTCGAATCCCGGAGTG